CTGCAGCCTCGACCTGCTGGACTCTAGCGATCCTCCCGCCTCAGCCTTCCGAGTACCCGGAACTGCAGGCGTGCGCTACCACAACCGGCTGATTTTTTGATTTATCGTAGAGATGAGGTCTCGCTGCCCAGGCGGGTCTCGAACCCACGGGCTCAGCCTCCCAAAGGCACGGGATTACAGGCTGAGCCACCAAGCCCGGCTCCTAACCTTTTGAGGAGCTGCCAGACTGTTATCCTAAGTGGCTTGCATTATCCTACATCCCCACCAGCAGTATATAAAGACTCCAACTTCTCCACATCCTTGCTGACTCTTGCTACTTTTAATAGCGTTTTGATTACAGCAATCCTAGCGGGTGTGATGCGGCATCTATTTAGGGTTTTGGTTTGCTTTCCCTAATGACTGATGATGTTGAGCATCTTTTCATGAGCCTATTGGTCATTTGTATATATTCTTGGAATAAATATCTTTTGCCATTTTCCAGTCGGTTACTTGTCTTTTTATTGTTATACGCTTTCTATGTTCTGGGAACAATTCCCTTATCAGCTATATGACCTGCGAATATTTTCTCCCATTCTATGGGTGGCCTTCTCATTTTCTTGGTGGTGTCCTTCAAAGCACAAAAGTTTCTTTTTCTTTAGTCGTTTGCGCATCTGGCGTCATATCTAAAAAACCGTTGCCTGATTCAAGGTCCCATGTTTGCTTCTGAGAGTTTTATACTTCCAGCTTTACCTTCAGGTACTTCCAAAGTGACTTTTTTTTTTTTATTGAGTTGGAGCCTCACTCCATCGCCCAGACTGGAGGGCGGTGGCACGCTCCCAGCCACCGCAGCCTCGACCTGCAGGGCTCCAGCGATCCTTCCGCCTCAGCCTTTCTAGTAGCCGGAACTACAGGTGCGCGCTACCACGCTCGGTTAATTTTTTTTTAAAATTTATTGTAGAGACGAGGTTTCGCCAAGTTGCCCAGGCTGGTCACGAAACCCTCGCCTCCGGCAATCCTCTCGCCTAGGCCTCGCAAAGTGCTGGGATTACAGGCTTGAGTCACAGCGCGCTGCAATTTAAAAATTTTTTTTACTCTTTTGGCTTTTATCATTTTATATTTTATACTCCAAAGTTTGCACTTCCTGCTCAAAGCAATTCTTCTACAGTGAAGAAACCGGCATTTACAGAGTCGCCGCCTGGAACCCGAGGCCCGACCCTGCCCCAGCCCCACCCACACTCAGCCACGCGCGGAGAGGCGACCCCCCGCGTGCGCGGACCTAGGTGCCCGGAGAGGCTTTGCGCCTGCGCACACGGCCGCTCGCGCCTGCGCAGTTCCCCCGGCCCCCGGGTAAGGTCGCGGAAGTCTCGCGAGCCCGGCGGGTGGCGCTTAGGGTTAGTGACTGTCCGGTCCTCCGGGCCCCTCAGCGCCCCCTTCTCGTCCTTCCCAGGCCCTTCCATCTGCCCGTCCTTCTCGAGCTCTTCCATTACGCCGCCCCCCCAGACCCCTCCATCCGCCCACCTCCTCCTCGGGCCCCTCTATTGCCGTCCTCCTCTGGCTCCTCCATCCCTGTCCTTCTCCGACTCCAACGTCTCCCTCCTTCTCGGGGCTCCCGCATCTCCGTCCTTCTCAGGCTCCTTTATCGCCGTCCTCCTTTGGCTCCTCCGTCACCATCCTCTTAGGGCTCCTCCAGCTCCATCCTCTTCTAGCTCCTCCATCATCGTCCTCCTTGGGCTCCTCCATCTCTGTCCACCTCAGGTCCCCCCACCACTGACCTCCTCGGGCTCCTCTGTCACCGTCCACCTCAGTCCTCTCCATCCTCTCCGTCCTCCTGAGACCCCTCTATTGTTGTCCTCCTCTGACTCCTCCTCACCATCCTCCTCAGGCTCCTCTACCTCTGTCCTTCTCAGGTCCCTCCATCTCCGTCCTCCTTGGGTTTCTCCATCTCCATCCTCCTCCAGCCCCTCCATCACTGCCTCCGCGGTCCCCACCGTCTCCATCCTTCTTGGACTCCTCCATCTTCCCACATCCTCCTTGGGCACCTCCATCACCGTCCTCCTCAGGTTCCTCCATCCTCCCCCCTCCACTTCCCCTTCATCCGCCCATCCTTCTCAGACCCTTCCATTACACCGCTCCCTCTTCTGTCCTCCTCAAGCCCCTCCATTCTACTCCCTCCTCCATTCTGCAGCGTCCTCCTCTGGCTCCTCCATCTCTGTCCTCCTTGGGTTCCTTCATCAGCGTCCTCCGGGCTCCTCCATCTTCCTCCATCATCCTTGGGCCCCTCCATCTCTGTCCTCCTCGGGCTCCTCTATCCTCCCTGTCCTCCTCAGGCTCCACCCTGCCCGTGGCAGGATGGGGGACAACACCAGCCCCATCAGCGTGATTCTGGTGAGCTCGGGCAGCAGGGGCAATAAGCTACTGTTCAGGTACCCCTTCCAGAGAAGCCAGGAGCACCCGGCATCCCTGACAAGTAAGTGGGTGCTGGGCAGAGGGCCCGGTGCTGCAGGGCTCCTGGCGGCTGGAGTGGGCACAGGCTGGTCACTCTCGGTGGGTGAGAGTATTCCTGGTTAGACAGTCATACCTGCTTGTTGTAGAGTGTCTGGAGAGAATAAGCAGGCCAGAGAACCCCAAGGAAAAGCACTGTTATTCCACATACCAGAGCAACTGTGCCAACAGAATAAAAGGACTTATGAAGCTGTTCATCTTGGAAACATAGAAGATTAGGGGTCCAGCTGAAGTCTGACCATCTCCCCCATCACAGAGAGAACCACTTAGTATTTTGGCGATTGTTCCTCCTGTGCTTAGATGTGAAATATGTGCCTGTAGAAAAATAGAAGATTGTCAAGGGGCTTTTCTTCTTCATGTATGTGTACTGTTCCATGGCGTTTGTTCACCATCCAGTCTAGTAGGCAGAGGTCACCCTTATTCTACCTTTGTTGCAGCATACTGCTGCTGCCCTGTAAGAACAGGCCCTTCCCTTGTGGACGCGTGAGTTGGGGTCTCACTCTGTCACCCAGGCTGGAGTGCAGTGGCACGCTCACCATCACTGCAGCCTCGACCTGCTGGATTCAGGTGATCCTTCCGCCTCAGCCTTCCAAGTAGCTGGAACTACAGGCATGCGCCACCACGCCTGACTAATTTTTTGATTTATTGTAGGGACGAGGTCTTCTCAAGTTTCCCAGGCTGTTCTTGAATCTGTGGGCTCAGGCAATCCTCTCATCTTGTCCTCCCAAAGTGCTGGGATCATAGGTGTGAGCCACTGTGCCTGGCTATATTTTGTTTTAAAAGTATTTTAAAACTTGTTAATATGGTCCAAAGTTTTAAAGGTACAAAGGGGTTTAGATTATGAAAAGAAAGCTCACAGCCACCACAGACTCAGCCTGCTGGGCTGAGGTGATCCTTCTGCTTCAGCCTCCCAAGTAGCTGGAACTAACGCCACCATGCTCAGCTAATTTATTGATTTATTGTAGAGATGAGGTCTTGTCAAGTTGCCCAGGTTGGTCTCAAACCCTTGGACTCAGGCAGTCCTTTTGCTTTGGCCTCCCCAAGTGCTGGGATTATCACACTTGGCCTGTCTCATTTTTAAATGTGTTTATATTGGTGTAAAGTGAAAGTTCTTCCTGAGAGCTGGTATTTCCTGGGCCTTTGCTGAGAGATGTGCACACCGCTTGTTTGCCTCTGGAGCTCTGAAACGGGAGCTATGGGAGGCCAGGACTTGGACAAATGGGGCCCTACAGCCAGGGAACAATTGGTTCAAGAGCCAATAGTTTTCTTTTCCATATGGTTATCTAGTTCCAAAATACTTTTATTGAGTAAATCACCTTGCCTCCTCTGATGGATTCTGCTGCCTTTATCACATACTAAATTCCTATGTTTATTTGATTCTATTTTTGACTTTTCTCTTCCAAAGATCTGTTTATGTGTGGCTCTCACACCAATTAATTACTCTAACTTTATATTTTGTTGTACTATCAGGTCAGATTAGTTACTTGTCATTACCTTTCCTTTTCAGCATCAGCCTGGCTATTCTTCCCTGTAATTTTAGCATCAGGTGTATTAGGCCCCACTCCCAAGTTGTTGGTATTTTATTGGAAGTAGCTTTATTTATTCATTTATTTATTTATTTATAGTTGAGGTCTTGCTTTGTCACCCAGGCTGGGGTATAGTGGCATGGTCACAGCTCTCTGCAACCTCGACCTCCTAGGCTCAGGCATTCCTGCGCCTCAGCCTCCGAGGCTGCTGGGACTATAGGCACATGCCATCATACCTGGATAATTTTTTTATTTTTATTTTTGTAGAGACAAGATCTTGCTATGTTGCCTAGGCTCGTCTTGAACTCCTGGGTTCAAGCAGTCCTTTGGTCTTGGCCTCCCAAAGTGCTGGAATTACAGACATGAACTGACAACTTTAAATGTGTTCATTAACTGGGAAGAAAAAGCATTTTTCTGTTAAATTGTCCCATTTAAGAACATATGTCTTCTATTCGTTGTTTACTTGTTAGCATTTCCATTTTTTTCATGGACCTCTTGCACTTTTCTTAGGTTCATCACTAGGTTTCTAAAATGTATTACTCTGGTAAAGTATTGTTTGTGTATATGAAGACTACTGGTGTACGTGCTTTTAAAAATTCTTTCTGCTGGACATAGTAGCTTATGCCTGTAATCCCAGCACTTTGGGAGGCTGAGGCGGGACGCTTGCTTGAGGCTAGGAGTTTGATACCCACCTGGGCAACATAGTGAGACCCCGTCTCTACAGAAAATTAAAAAAAAAAAATAGCTGGACTTAGTGGCTCTGCAGGCTGAGGCAGGAGAATTGCTTGAGCCCAGGAGTTCAAAACTGTGGTGAGCTATGATCACACCACTGCACTCCAACCTGTGCGACAGAGCAAGATCCAGTTCTAAAAAATAAATAAAAATAGTTTCTTTTGCCTATGCTTTTCCAATCTAATTGCCATCATTAACTGAGAATGTGTGTGTACCTCTTGTACCAAACAGCTAAGTTGTGAATACATAGGGAAAAGTTGTTGAAGGAAATTGTTACTCCAAACCTGGTGTGCACCTATAGTCCTAGCTATTTGTGAGGCTGAGGCAGGAGGATCTCTTGAGCCCAGGGGTTTAAATACAGTCTGGGCAACATAGTGAGACCCAGTCTCTGGGGGAAAAAAGGTGTTACTCCAGTGAACAAACGAACACATGAATGATAAGAAAGTGAAATTGCCTGCTTGCTGGTATGGAGAAAGATTTAGTGATGTGGATAGAAGATCAAATCAGCCACAACATTCCCTTGAGCCAAAGCCTAGTCTGGAGCAAGACCCTGAGTCTCTTCAGTTCTATGAAGATGAAGAGAGGTGAGGAAGCTGCAGAAGAAAAGTGTGAAGCTAGCAGAGGTTGGTTTATGAGATTCAAGGAAAGAAACCATCTCCATGACATGCAAGTGCTATTGGAGAAGCTACAGCAAGTTATTCAGAATAACTAAGATTATTGATGAAGATGACTACATTAAACAACAGACTTTTAGTGTAGGTGAAACAGCCTTATATTGGAAGGGTATGCCATTAGTACTTTGACACCCAGAAAGAAGACTGACTTCAAAGATTCGAAGGACAGGCTGATTGTCTTGTTAGAGACTAGTGTAGTTGGTGACTATAAATTGAAGCCAGTGCTTATTTACCATTATGAGACTCCTAAGACCCTTTATAATTGTGCTAAATCTACTCTGCCTGTGCTCTATCAGTGGACCATCAAAACCTGGGTGACAGCACATCCTGTTTACAACTTGGTTTACACCTTGGAGTATGTTGTCTATTATTGAGACCTACTACTTAAAGAAAAAGATTCCAGCTGAGGTGAGTGCATTGCCTGAGCCCACAGGTTCGAGACCCGCCTGGGCAGGAGAGACCTCATCTCTACAATAAAATAAAAAAAAATTAGCCAGGCGTGGTAGTGTGTGCCTGTAGTTTCAGCTACTTGGAAGGCTGAGGCGGAAGGATCACTGGAGCCCAGCAGGTCGAGGCTGTGGGAGCCGGGAGTGGCCACTGCACTCCAGTCTGGGTGACAGTGAGACTCCAACTCAAAAAAAAAAAAAGGAAAGAAAAAGATTCCTTTCAAGATATTACTGTTCAATGATTATATAGTCACCCAAGAACTCTGAGGGAGATGTTCAAGGAGATTAATGTTGTTTTCATACCTGTGCACACAGCATCCATTCTGTATTCCATGGAACAAGGAGTAATTTTGACTTTCAAGACTTATTATTTGAGGAATACACTTTGTAAGGCTATAACTGCCATAGATGGTGCTTCCTGGATGAATCTTGGCAAAGTAAGTTGAAAACCTTCTGGAAAGGATTCATCATTCTAGATGCCATTAAGGAACATTCATGAGCTGGATGCAGTGGCTCATGCCTGTAATCCCAGCACTTTGGGAAGCGGAGGTAAGAGAATTGCCTGAGTCCAGGGGTTTGAGACCAACCTGGGCATCTTGGCGAGATCTCATCTCTACAATAAATAAAAAAAATTAGCTGGGTGGTGGCACACACCTGTAGTCTCAGCTACATGGAAGGCTGAGGCAGAAGGATTGCCTGAGCCCAGCAGGTTGAGGCTGTGTTGGCTGTGAGCGTGCCTCTGCACTCCAGTCTGGGCAATGGAGTGAGACTCCTACTTAAAAAAAAAAAAAAAAAGCCGGGCTCGGTGGCTCAGCCTGTAATCCCGCACCTTTGAGAGGCTGAGGTGAGTGGGTTGCCTGAGCCCGTGGG